GAATAATGCATGAACACATAAAACACAAATTGAATGTTCACGCGTATTGTCGCCTCATCACTATTGTCGAACTGATAACATTCACTGAAATAACAACGTTCACTTTTTATGTGAAGTTTTGAATGCAGTTGCGTTATGGCTCTGATTGTTTTGCTTGTGGTTGGATGTCAAAACTTCGGCGTCTAATAACTCAAGCTGTTTGATATGATTGATTGATTATTGACTCTGCGATTACTGCAAAAGTTTGAGTTTGATTTCAGCATCCGGCTTATTTCACCATCTTTGCCATATTATCTGCTAAAATGAGAGGATTTTTCTCTTAAAAATATCGTTCTGAATAACTGAATTAACTGACTTAAAGAGATTTGATTTCTAGGATTGTAATGAGAAGTCGCCTTATTCTATTCATTTTCGATACTTGTACTTAGTTGAATCGTTTTTCGCTGCGAACTCAGTTGCCTCAATATTTGTTAGTTGCGAGCCATGAGTGTATCATATCGATCAATTAAAGAGATCAAATGCTTTGAAAAGATTCTTCAATGCAGAGAATCCCTGTTGGTCCCTTCAGATAACAAATCATTGGCAAAATGCTTAATTTTATCATCAAACACAATGATCAGTTGCAATGTTTATCAGTCACGTTTCATTTATTACTGAGATTTTATTTCTTACATTTTATTCTTTTTTTATTTATTGCTAATCTTTTTTCAACGTCATTAAATTGCATGCATAACTTTGAGTTGGAGCCATTTTCAGCTGAAGGATGCTAATTTAATTTTATGACTTGGCGACAGTCATGATTACCAATAAGCTAATTAATGCCAGACTCATGACATAATTTCCCATATATCTGAGATTCCCACAACGAAAAAAACCGAATATTTCAGTTTGATATTGTTACTGTCATTTTTATCTCTTAATCGTTTGATTTCAGCCGAATTTGATACAATCTTATGATAGACAATTTTATTAGGTACTATCGCATGCCATACGATAAACAGTGAGATAGAAGTAATAAACTGTAAATCACATGTATGAGCAAGGCAATTTGATTTTTCTCGAGCCACTTTTATGATCACTAATCTGGCGAAAAATTTGAACACGCATAAAGAACTGATTATTTGGGAGTATCACAATATTTTTGCTCTAGCACTTCTATCAGCGTCTTTAGTGTAGACTCATTTTGCGACATTCCTAAATTATCCAGTCGAATTAGTGCCATCGAGTGGAATCTGATGAAACCGAACAGTGGATAAGAGATGATATGATATCCCGAACAGTGGAAGTGTGACTTCGTAGAAGAGAGTTTATTTTGATTGTAAGGAAAGCGATCGAATTCAACGATAAATTCGTAATAATTATTAGACTTTGGCACATCAGACATCACTATTGTTATCGTGAAGTAGCGTTTTAAATGGAAAGCATTGGTCATTTAACAAAGCAATAGTCACAAATAGAGACCGAAGAAACACAGGACAGATGATTGGAAGAGAGAAAGCGCTTGAAATTTTTAAGTTTTTATCATCTTATCATCACAATCATGTAGAACATGGGTTTAGGTACTTAGACTGGAAGATAAGTGGGACATCTGATAAGTTGTCTCATCCATAAGACGGCTGAGAACTCAGTCAAATCAGTCAACTTTTTTGGCCATATCATCCTTGTTATCATCGTTTTGTTCCTCCTGCTCAATTGCCTCTTCCATTTCCTTCTTTCTTGCGTCGTCACGCCGCTTTCTACATAGCGATTTTTGTCGTTCAATTTCCAGTACCATTTGCACATAAATATAGCCGAGTATGAGCAAGATAAAGAGAGGATATTGCAGTTTTAATGTCTCCTCGAACCAGATCCGTTCAATTGTCTGATAGGCAATGAATGGTCCACAAACGAAGAAATAGTTGCCGTAAATCGCCGGTATCATGGTGATCTCTTGCAGAACCGCAACGATGCGTCTGAATGCCACATCACCAATGTGCTCCTCACGCCATTTTCGTACACTCTCAATTGAGTAGATACCCTTACCCAGATATTCGAGAAACAATTCACTTATACTTAGCGATATCCATATCTGAAATTTGAAAATAAGTGGACGTTTTAAATTGCTCAGATGGAACGATGATGCGAGTGATACAAGCCTGAACTTACATAATTGGACGTGTTGAATCCATGCCAAATAAGCACGAAACCATAGCATACGAAGACGGCGAAAATCTTTCGCGATAACGAAAAAGTTGGTGCAGCAATGGGAATGAATATGTATTGCTTGAAAAATGAGTAGAGACCACGATCAAAATTTCGCCACATTTTTGAGTAGAGCGCTACTGCGGCCATACAAATGGGTCCTTTCTGTGGTTTCATATTGTCAATTTTTGCAAAAACGGCTGGCACTCCAAATATCACCACATATTTCAGGTGGAAAAATTGACCTGAAATTGTAACGCATTGTAATTGAACTTAAGCAAAATTAATTCCTCCACTTTGCAGTGACTGAAATCAATGAGTGAAAATTTTCAGTGGACACTTCATTGTTTTAGAGCTTATGTTGTCTGCATCAATCTCCGGATTTTGCGCAGATATAGAACTATTTAAGGTGGTTACAGAAGCAAAGCAACGTTTCACGTTCAATGTTCCGAGAAATATGTGAAAGCGAATTGTTACATTAGGCTGTTGAAAAATGCTTCATGCTTCAGTCATTATTTCAATGACATAGCGAGTAAAATTCACAATATCCCGTGACTATTTTATATCTATAGGGTTTTGGTCACTTAGAGTGGTAACGTAACAAATTCATCGAACCAATTCAAAAAGTTGTTGGCTTACCGAATGCCATACAAGCGGCCAAATATAGATCCTCGCGGAGAGTGTATGAAAATTCTGGATCGTTGAGCATTGCCTCAAAATAGAAAATATGTAGCATCACTTCGACGGCCACCCAATAAATTGCGATCCGGATGGCGAACCATAGAATCTGTAGCCAGTTTCGTTGCCTTGTGGCACGTTCACTCATCTGCTTCTCGAAATCTGGATAGGTCACCACCAAACTGATAACGTATGGCAGATAGAATGTGTAGAATAGCATTCGAACGTATCGTTTCCAAACGGTGTTATCTTCATCTCGTAGATTCTCTTTAACTGTTTCCAAACTGAACGATATATAAGAGAGCAGAGTATACGAAGCGAAGATCAACACCAGAAATGGATCATGATTGAAATCCAACGAGTTGTTCATCACCATATAGAGAATCGGTAATCCGCTCACCCAAACCACTAAGGATCGCCTGCAAGTTGATATTATGAACTTCAGTTCAGTTCTAAAACTTAGATTAAAGAGTTGAGATTCTGGTGATAACGAAGAACATCAAGCAGAAAAGTGCCATGCGATGCTTCCTTTTGACGTAACTGTCAGCATATCGAAATTGTTTGGAGTAAGTATTGTATTTGGAATAAGGTCACAATATATTTCCCTAATAAAAGCTGTCAGGTTTGCTTCAGAAAGTAGATTCGATGTTTGAATCCAGTGGGTCCGAATTTTTGAGGCTATCAGCACGTTTCGGTGCACGAAAAATTTTCTGCAACTCCTTAATGTGGCCTCTAAAATTCCTGTGACACCTGAGAAGTCAACATATTGCTGTGATCACATAGCATGTCTATTATTGGAAAATTTGCATTTTTTTTTGCACATATCAACCGCAACTTCGTTTGAGAGTTTGCGCATTTTCAATGGAATACCGGTATGGTAGTAGGAGTGATGGTTGGGAGGATCATGAAAACTAACTTGGTGAACGTTGCCATGGCGAAAATGAACGTTCCTTGAAGTATGGAAACCACTACGAGCCATCCGGTGAACAGCTGTGAACATGCAAATGCCGAATAAGCGATCATCACATAGGGCATTACCGATTCCGAGAGAAATTTCTCACCAACATTGAAAATGAGACAGCTTACAGCTAGGTAGGGTAGAAATGAAAGTGCGAATGGACTCCATCGACCCCACTCCCAGTTACTTTCATCCTGAAATTCAACAGCGATATTAGGCCATTTAAAAAAATCTATCAAATCTGATGCACCATTTTCTATTCCAGTTCGCCTCGAATTGAATCAGCTAAAATTTCTCCATGCTGATCGCTTGTTCTCTGCGATTTTGATAGCATATGTTTAAAAAATTCCGCCAGCAAAAATCTTTCAATTAAAAATGTCCGGTTGCAGAAGAGCTGCTCAAATGTTCTGGACACCCAGAAATTTTTTCTGAGAATAAAAAACGTTGATTTGAAAGAATTCGAGTCAAAATCGAAAGTCAAAATGTTTCATCCAGGAGTGTCGCAATGCTCTCAAAACCGAAAAGTCTTTAAATGTTCTCGCTGCCTTGAAAAGCACCACGTTCTGATTGGATTCATCAATACCACAGGTTTGAGTCTGAGTTTAACTGCAGTCCCCCATGCTTGATGGTTGAATTTACGAAATTTGAAAAAAAGATGCAACAAAAAAATGCGCACAAGATTTGCGCTCACCTTGTATCGATATCCAAAAAATGGTATATAATGTCTTGGTATTGGTAAGTCATCGGCAAGAAGACGTTCGAACTGATTCGTTGCCTCATTCACAGCGTACCAAGCAAAGAAGAAACCGACGAATATCACCGATAAGTAGAAACCAATCTCATATTTGGGTAGCGCTGGATACTCGAATAGAGCAACTCGTTTACGAGCTGGCAACTGAGCGATCACCATACGCAGTTCTTGACTGGTGTTCCCTCACGGAAACCTGTATAAATTTATGAATTTGATGGGAATTAATTGAGTTTCTC